TTCTGATTTAGCCCAAACCAGGACACTGGGTTTCCAGAGAACCCCTGGGGCAGTGACTTTCCTTTGGAAGGTAGCATTCATTTATTGGGCACCTTCTGCTTTCAGCGAGGGCTGCAGAGGCTGGAAGCAGGTCCTGCTCTTAATAAGATCTAGGCTGATAGTCTTCCCTGCCCACATAGTAATTGAACATAAAGTCTGATTCAGAGTGCAAATGGACTCTCTTGGGAGGTAAGGCAGCAAAAAACCGATGTGACAGGCAAAGGGTTCATTTGAGGAATTAAAAAAGACTCAATGTGTTTCTGTCCCATTCAGTACTGCAGAAATATAAAGTGCAAATGGAACTGACACTGCCCAGCTCTCAGGTTTAACAGATCAAAACAAGCCATTTGCACAGCACAGTGGTGGCTGCCTTGCTTCTGTCTGCAGCTTTAGCACTGCTCAGCTGCCATGGTCTGAGGAGGACAGGGATGCTGTGGATGGAGTTGTAGGAGGGGGAAGATAAATTTAGGTAACAGAAAGAGTAAGGAAAACTAATGTTTTTGAAGGATAGCCTCTGATTTGGAGCCCACAAATGTTGGTTGTGCTTTGGTGACTCTTCAGAGGAGCTGTTGGTATTCAGCATATCTGAATGTTCATTTGGCAGAGCAGTAATTCACTTGGGTATCTGGGATTGTGACCACTTTTGAAGCTGGTTGCAGGCAGGACCAGAGAGGTCATCTAGGTAGAGTGTAACAGTCTTAGTGATTCTACCGGTTAATTGTGCTTAACACAGAGAAACAGGTCGTTCCTCTTTGAGTCCCTGGGAATTTTGCTGTGTTTCACTATGTGTAGGATCTGGCTCTGTCTTTATCTCTGTATTTCTTGTATCTAACAGCTGTGTTTCAGCAATAGGAAGTAAAAGCATGAAATGAAGCACCTCAGTTCCTCACCACAGCAGCTGGACATCTGCAGCCTCAGGACCTTATACTACTAATTACTTTTACAGTTTGTTCTTACATGTCTAGAAATACTCTGAGATGTGTGCTTTCTTATCAGACAGCCAAGCCTTAACGACTGACTGTCTTGTAGCATCAAGTCCTAAATACAGCACAGGATGCCTAAGTTAATGAGGCAGTCCAAGTGTGCCAGTTCACATCCAGAAGTTTTGAGGATTATTCATAATATTGCCACTGTGTCATTTTGAAGACAGTGGTTGAGACTAACTGATACTGAAAAGAAACACCTGCTGGGGCAGGCAATGGGATTTTGGAAAAACTTGTAGCTGGGGTGACTACAAGGGGAAATTAGTGGTGGTCAGAAGAATAACAACAATGTTTTTTAACTGCATAGTAAGATGGGTGGGGTCATGGTATGTTCCCCTTGAGACACTAACTATAGTTATTTTAGTGTCAGATGCTCCCTGAAAGGTCATATCTTCAATGGGTATTATGTGAAGAGTTGAACATAATATACACAGTGATTTATTGATGCAGGGCAGCATGTTTAATACCTGGAAGCCGATGTGGGTCGTGCTTTTAGAAGATGGAATTGAATTCTACAAGCGGAAGGCTGACAACAGCCCCAAAGGGATGATCCCACTAAAAGGAAGCTCTATTAACAGCCCATGCCAAGATTTTGGCAAAAGAATGGTAAGTACTTTTGTTATCACAATGATTGATAGTGTACTTATGCTCCTGGAAGTACTGAAGGGGCACAAGGGTGGTGGTTACAAATTCCTTACACTTATCCTATCAGTTGCCTTAAAAGGTCACAAGGTCACTTGTGTAGTGTTTGAAAGGTGTGACTGCTCAGGAAATATTCAGGATACCTCAAGAGAAGCAATTCTGAAAGTGATTATTTTTATTTTATTTTTTGTTTTAAATCTCTGAGTGTCAGAGAGCAGAGCTGAATTACATTGTTGTGAGGACACTTAGCAGCTGAATGGCACAACTGCTGTATTAAATATAAATCTGGCTGCCACAGAATAAAGATGTGGGAAGCATTTATTTATTTATTGTCAAAGAGCAACAACTGGCTTGCTCAGACAGCAAGGAGATAAATGCTGTGACACAAATGCCCAAGTAAATCTGTAATTGCAAACCTTTTTATTACGATTTGGTAACTACTCGACCCCACACACTTCACATTCATGCACTCTGTATTAATCGCACACTTCATTGTTACTCGTAGGGCTTTTGCAAGCAACTAAGAGTCACATCTACACTCAGAGGGAATCATTCATTATTTCAGCAACTCAGTTTCATCACATAGGCATTATACACCCAGGAATTCCTTAGACAAAGGGGTCCCCCAGAATCTGGAAGATTATCTATTATGGTTTTAAAGAAGTTTACTGCAAGGATGCTTGACTAAAGATAGAAATATCTGAGAGCATTAGAAAAATAGAAAGAAAGTGTGAGAGAGTGCATGAGAGAGCAAGATTCATTGTCTCATATGAGTAAAGTGAGAATTATACCTGTCCTTAGGTTCTGTGGTAAGTGGAGTCAGGGACCCTGATGTCAGATTTGGACCTGCTGGCTTTCCTTTTTCCCTTCTCTCTTCTTTTTTTTTTTTTTCTTCTTCCTTTCTTTTTTTTTTATTCTTTATGCAGACCTCATATTTATATGGAAAAAAAAAAAGTTGATCCTTATGGAGTCTTTTTAGCCATACATCTGTTAAGAAAAAGGGGCTCTTAACTTAAAAGCTCTCTCTGAGGCAGTGCAATAAAAGGATGGGGCAGAGAACAACGATTGCTGTTAATCCTGTGCTGAGTCAAAGAAGTTGTAGATGGCTGCTTCTCCTGGGGAACAAAAGGTTTTAGAGGGCCACTACCTTGGAAATCTCACCCAGAGCAGGATCGTCAAGAGCTACAAGCTCTTCCTAGCTCTTTCTAGGTACTTGCAGTTGTCCACAAAAGAAACTGTATTATCATGTGTGGAAGGAGAATTGCATGATCATGCGGTCCCACCCCATGGCCATCATAGGTGTTTTATTGCTGAGCTGGCAAGGGTGATTGTCCAACTGATTCAGAAGGGTTTGAGATTGACTGTTGGCCAAGCCCATTTACTGTTCCTTATCGTTACCAGCTCCTGCCTGAGCCAGTCTTGGGCATCGCTAGGCAAACCTTATTGCTTAACCCCTGCAGCTTCAGATTTGACCTTCTGCTTCAGCCAGCATGGCTGTGTGTCTGTGCATTGCGTGGGCACCGGCTGGGAGCTCTCTGTTCCAGCACTCGGCTTTACATCTCTTGCAAACCACGAATAATAAAGGTGAAGCATAGTTATGTCTAGGGACTAGAGCATGGGGAAAGAACATTAAATAACCAAATAAAGATCAGAAATTAAGTATTTCTGCGCACATTTGGTTCTAATTCTGCTGATTTGAAACCATGTTCCTGCATTATCTAATTAACATGCCTCAGCACAACACTCCTTACTCTATACATGAGGTACAATGAATGCGTGGGGAGAAGAGTACTGTGTTCAAGAGTACCACAGATCCTACATTATAATGGTAGAAATTAAATTTTTCTCACAAAGCATTCATTTGCAAACAGTTTCATAGGTTTGTTGGGTTTTTTGGTTTGGTTTGTTTTTTTTTTAAACTCCCACAGAACTCCTACAGAGGCACTGACATCAGTATTGGTCTATACTGGTTGCTTGGAAATAACAGTAAGGAAAAGCTAATTCACCAGTGTATGTGCATTCTACAAAACAGGCAGAGAGTTCTGAAGTATCATGTCTGCTGAAGAGAGAGAGATTGATCCTCACCTGCCCAAAGGGTTGCTTGAGGATATATCGGTTTGCAGAATATGCTTTGCATCTGTATTGAAGGGTGATGAAGTCTCTGAGGACTGTTCCTTTGACTGGAGTGAGTTTTAGGTTATGCTTCATTTTACATTACAAGTTTACATAATAAATTTTACATTATGTGTCATTTTAGTTGCTGGGGCCTTTTCTGGGGGAGAATAGAGAAAAAAGGATCTCAGACCTGAGGGTTGAGGCACCCAAAACAACTGTCATAAGTAAGATCTGATGCAGTTTGCTGAAGTCAGTGGAAGCAATCCAAATTACTTCAGCAGGTGTTGGAGCAGATCTTCCTTGCTGAGTTGGTGAGATAGTTCTGAAACTCCATAGACCAATAGCCCTGGAGATGTGTTTTCTCTTAAAATTTGCACTGTTCAAACAGTCAACACTGCAACATGTTTATTCATATGAGCAACACCATCACTGGGATTGTTTTTACAAGTAGTTACTGCCTAATATAATTAAACCTAAATTTCTACATATATTACTTGAAAATGTAGTATCTTGATTTTTGTATTTTGCATTTTACCGCTTTACTGCTGAATCTAATGCCTCTGCATTCCATCCTGGCTTCTCATTGGTTACATGCCAAAACATACAGTTCTTCCTCTTATGGTAATTATTCTGTTTCTTAGCGGTTCACACACATTTACTTCATATGGCTAGAAATGAAAGTACATTTTTAGGACAGGGGTTCTGTAGGGTGAAAAGTGGGATAATTTTCATTAGGTCAGTTTTAAGTCCAGTCTCACTCACTTGGCCCCACTTTGGAGCAGGGAGTATTGAGCCATGAGCAGACTTTTGTCTTCATCTGGTTAGATTTCTGCTTGTTCAATTGGCTTGTCTGTCTGCACCAGGGCCTAGCTTGAAAACTCAGGGCACGTAACCAACACACTTTGTTTACTAAATCAATTGCAAAAAGCAGGTGCTTAGGTGAAAGGAAGCTATCTTGGATTTCTGTCGACAAATGAGTGTTGAGATACAGACTGTTCAGAAGAGGCTGCAACTGCATATTTTGGGATTTTATTGCAAAATTTATTCACTGCTGTTTGCTGTTTTTAATGTGGTGTTAATTCTGCTATACTTGTGCTTTCACTGTTTTCCCCATGGCTTTCCTGTGGATAGCGTTATCATGTATGGTTGATCATAGTCAGATTCATTTGTCCTAACTTACTATCTAAAATGTTCGTGTTTAGTTCAGTCTAATGTTCAATTTTCTCAAAAGCACAAACAGATATGCATCATCAGGGGGAGACTTGGTCACTTCTAGGATTGGAGACTCAACTTCTTCACCAATTTCAGAGGAAGTCTGGATATCTAGCTTGGTGGCCTAGCTTTCTAAAAGCTAAAGTTCAAAGCTTTCCCAGTCTCCTCTGTGTACTGGAAATGAAAACCTTTCCTTAGCATTTCACTGTACACTGCTTTTCAGCCCTTCTGCTTTGAGAATGCTGATTTTTTTTTCCTTTGGTAAAAGCTTGCTTTAATGATTTGATATTTCATTCTTTTAATCTGGTGTGTTAGCATGACTCTGGGACATTGGGATTTGGAGAGATCTGTCTGTTTGCCTTTCACATGCTCCATACCTTGATTTTCAGGATGTAGCTCTTTACTGAATAGTAGAAAAGATGGGTGTTGCTGGAAATATGAACAGTGTCAGATAAGAAATGGTTACTTTTCTGTCTGAAATGGATTTGTGAGAACCCAATGCTTTGTAAGTTTGAAATCTATCTTGCATGAACATCAGCAGGACTTCTGCATAATCTCAGGGTGTCAGAATTTTTCTGGTTGGCAACAATCTGGAAGATGTATATTGGGGATGTTCAGAAATGTGCCATTTACAAATGCAGGCTTCAGTAGACTCATTCAGTGTTTTGATTTTGTTGCTGCAGATTCACCGCTCTCTGCTCTTTGACAATAGTCTCTACTTTACTTGCCCTCATAAAGCCATGCTGTTTGCTTGCTGATTAGCCTGTCATTTTTAGATGCCTGCTGAGTCAGAACCTGTTATATTTATTCTAATACAACTAGAGAACAAATTACAGTTCCACTTATGGGGAACTGTATTTTAGAGGAAGTGGAAACCCTCTTGACTGAGTAATTAGAACCAGATTTTCCACCCAAAAGATCACTGGATGAAAACGAGATCAAACAATGTGAGCTTTGTTGGGGTCTTTTTCAGGTTGGTGTTATTTTTTTCTGCTTAGAACTACCTTTAAAAGATCTTTTCTCATTTTTGGGAAATACAGTCTTTCCATTGTTGCTAGTGTGTTTAGATAGGTAGTGACCATAAGGTGTAACCAGGGGTTGGACTTATCTCCCTTCTAAGACCTTAAAGGTTTGCTAGGCTGCAAATGTGTTCAGCTACTCTCCAATGTGACTGTAACCTTTTCTCCTCTTGTGATTCAGTAGCTGAGCAACATGATGCAGGGGTTTTTTCCTCCTTCAGGCTGACCACATCTCTATAAATATAAGCGAATTTACACCCACTGTAAGCCTGCAGGGGCTGGACACTTCAGCCTTTCAGCTGTGTTAAGCAGAAGTTAAAATCAGAAGCTATATCAGTGCCACTCACCTTAGCTGTACTGACAATGTCAGGATCGCTCACAGGGAAATAGCAAAAGGAGTCAGTTACCTGAACTGGCTGCTCATGTTTTTCTTGAGTTTTTTAAATTCCATTGTGCATCTAAGGCACTTTCTGTAGTCCCTTAGGCACAGGCACCCTGTATGTTGTGGTGGTACTAGGTTAATTCTACCCAACTGGCTACATCAAAGTAACTGTTAAAAAACCCATCATTTATCATTCCAGTTTGTCTTCAAGCTCACTGCAGCCAAGCAACAGGACCACTTTTTTCAAGCTGCCTACCTGGAGGAGAGAGATGCATGGGTACGGGATATCAAGAAAGCAATTCATTGCATAGATGGAGGCCAAAGGTTTGCCAGAAAATCCACAAGGAAGTCTATCAGACTGCCTGAAACGATCAACCTGAGGTTTGTTCTCATAGCTCTGCTCCCCAGTTTACTTCCATCTGCAGGCGGTGTGCCAGATAGGTAACCTCGGTCTGGAAAAGCTATGAGCATGTCTGTCCATGCTATCTTTCTGGTTTCACTCAGAGTCCTTTCTGCATGACTAACAGTTTCAGAGCATACAATGTGGCAGAAATGAGATAGCAATCAGAACTGAGAAGGTAATTTTTATTAAAAATAATCTTTTACCAAATACGCTTATTTATCAAAGGATTTTGCTGGTAAGATTTCTGAGCACACTGCAGTTGTAAAAGGAGACCCCAGTCAAAGTGTGATTCTTCCAGGAGAGGCATTTTTATACAATATATATAATTTATTGCAAAAATATTTTAAACCTTTTGTTTGCTCTCCAGAGAAACGCTGATGTTAGTCCAGTTTTTGGATGGTGAGGGGAGAGTGGTGCCTGCCAGAGAACTTGGAACTGGCAAAGGGAGAAGAAAAGATAAAGAGCACACAGAGGAAGCCATCTGTTTGTCAGTACTTCAAAAATTAAGGACAACTTATTGTTTGCCTCTGAGCAGTAAATACCAAGACACAAATGAGCCTGCAGTACTCTTTACAAGACAGTAAAACTGCACAGGGCCAATATCCAGCTAAATCTGACTTCACAGGCTTCAGCAGAGGATCACCCTGACTAGCAGGCCAAAGGACTTAGCCTGTGACATTTAATATTCATCCTTCTTGTCATTTCAGAGCTCCAAGGAATTAAGAGTTCTGAGCAAGTGAAAAGCGGGTGGGAGGAAGGAAGTCACACCAGGGTTCACTGAGGTTACTTACAGCATCTGAGACCATGCAGGCTTTGGAGATATCACAGTGACAGCCTTTTTGCCAGCCAAGGACCTTTGGGGGAACAGAGCGCAAAGCAGTGAGCTCTCCTATTGGCACTAAGGCTGTGGGGCCCTGTGAAGGTGCCTCAGCAGTGGGTATTCCTCTATTCACACTACAGTCACCACAAGTTGTTCCATTCTCAAAACATAGAGGTATGGTGAGCCACTTACATGCTCCCCTCTCTGCTCCTGCAGCTGTGACAGTGATGTAGTGAGGCCTCCAGGCTTTGCAGCATAAATTTTTCAAATTAAGCTAAGCCATGCTATAGCTCTGCAGAAAGCAATATGCCAGCAAAACATGAAGACCCTATGAATGGCAATGATATTCTTGTACGAACTGGCTAAAACTTTGTATTTGCTAACAGTTTCTGTGGTTCTTCTTATGCACAGTGCTTTGTACCTCTCAATGAAAGATCCTGAAAAGGGAATAAAGGAGTTGAAGCTAGAAAAAGATAAAAGAGTGTTCAATCACTGCTTTACAGGTAAGGAGCTCTTGTCTGCCTTTTCCATACGATAAAGGGAGCACAGGACCGAGAGGCTAAAGATAGATAAAACAGCTCTAAGCTCTGTAGAACACAGAGAAGTTTGACCAGAAAACCTGGCAGATGTTTTCTTGACTGACACAGGAGGTGCTCAAAGGATGAAGCTTGAAAAAGCATTCAATTATGGGCATGGTAAACAAGAGAGAAAAGAAATTTCATCAGTGCCAGAAAGATTGAAGTAGATCTTTGTAGAATGTTGCATGAAACACTTAATTCCAGAAGAATTACTCCTTTCTGAATTTTTCATCCACAAACTGTGTCACATTGTAATTCCTGTCCTGTTCCAAGTCAAATACGTGGGTGCTAGAGTTGAAAGTCGCCTTGTTTTGATAGTACTGTGTCAGTAACAGAGCAGCCTGGAAGACTGCTTTCTCCAGGCTTGGCTGTCCTTTGTACTTCCCCAGTCCCTGTCCCTGAGGCTTCCCAGCTGAGCCCTGTATCCCCTCCCAGCTCTCTTCTCCCTCAGGTACAGTGGTCAAGAGTTGTACTGGCCCCTGCCATCAGTCGGATCGGCTGTACCTCACTGGATGACCCAGGCACCTTTCCAGATTAGCTCTCTGCTTTGTCACTATCTTTCAGGAGATTGATGAATAGATGGAGTGGGCTTGTTGCCTGTGTATTTTCAGGCTTCTTCATGTCTGTCTTGGTTTGTGGCTGATTTTGTTCCTTTATAACCAGGCACCTCTGTGATTGACTGGCTGGTGTCTAGCAACTCCATCCGAAATCGCAAAGAAGGTCTCATGCTTGCCTCTTCCCTCTTGAGTGAAGGCTACCTACAGCCTGCAGGGGATACGTCCAAGGCTGCTGCTGAGGGACTGTCAGACACCCTCTTCTTAGATCTCAGCGATGCCTACTATTACTTTGTGAGTGTTGTATTCTGGTTTGTTTTTTTTTTTTCGTCCCAGGCTGGCCGATGCTCTGCTTTTGTCAGGCTTCTTGGTGGGTTTCTTAAGCCCCACCTTGGTGGGGTCCTTAAGGAAAGATTGTACAGAAGTGGAGAGACCCATGTTAATTATCTTTCTCTATGTGATACTCAGAATGAACTGGTTCACTTTAATATTTGTAAGCAGGACATTTTTTTTTCTAGCACTCAGAATTTTAAGCGTGAACTGGGTGCTGAGGTCAAGTTGGGTTCTTTCTAACTTAAGACTTTGTTCCTCGTAATTTCACCAGTGACCGGAATGATTCAGTGGAAGGGCTGATAGTAATTCGTTATCATGGGGCTTCTCAAAGTGACACAAGCTACAAACCCATTTTTGGGCAGAGCCATCAAATCTGACTCGTATGTGCACACACTCAGCTTGCCTGTGAGTGGAGAAGCAAAAATTTGTGATATCTGCCATTAACACCTGTCCTGGGTAGATTACCCAACCTTTTCAATTTGTTGCTTCATATTCTGTAGATTGATTTGAAGAACTTGCAACATCACAATCACAGTCAAATACTATTTTAAAGATGTTTGGCTTATGAACTTACGCTAACAAAAAAGTATGCCTTCTATCAAGTAAAATGCTTAAATGCAACAATTCTATTTATATTTATCACATAGACTCACTCAACTTCAGCAAAATGAATCTCCCATTACTTCATCTGTTTTCCTAGAATGTGTTCCTTGTAGGGAGACTTTACCTATGCAGCGATGGAAGAAGAGACACTGCTGGTGAAGGCAGCCTTATGGCCATCACAGTTCCTGGCTACCTGGGATGCTTCTCCTAGCAGCCCGTGTGCACTCTGCTTGCTTTCAGCTTGTTTCTAGTTTGATTCAATAGCAGTGGGTTGTGAGGAAGCCACAGCAGGTCAATGTCTGACTCGCTACCATACAAGCAGGCAGCACAGGTGTTTAAGCCATATGAATGGTTATCTACATTGACATCATTTGAACAGTGTAAGATTTTGGAAAATAGCATCACAATTTCTCTGGTGTGATATGGATGTGATGCATGGATGCTGAGACAGCCTGCGCTCAGTGCACATATCACAGCTATAGAAAATTGCAAATTTCAAAAACTAGGGGCAGTTCTTGTTGTTGGAGAAGACAGCCTAGATGGAATATTTCTTCTTCCCAAATTCTAAAGGTTGTGATGGATGGAGGAAGAAGGGTGTGTTGGGTGCAGGGATGACCAGCCTGGAGTGTATTGGCTGTGCTGGCATTGCTTCATACGAACTGTGTCTGTGCATTTAAAAACCTATGACACCACGTGATTGATCCTGTCCATCATGGAGGAAACGTGACACCAAGAGTCATGGAGAATGGAGGCACTGACGTAAACATGGGCGCTCCAGCTCTCTTCAGATGCCCTGAGACCCATTGGTGTAGTCCTGCCTCACACTGAAACATTCCATGGTGGCTTGAAGAGCTTCTCAACTTCACTGACAGATATTTCCAGTAAAAGGGTTGATTTTTTGGGTGGCAAAAAACAGGGTGGAGGGAAGCCAAAGAGAAGCCAGATTTGTACGTGTACGTGAACATGCAGCAGCTGTGTAACTTCTGAATTTTCTCTTGTGGTCATGCAGCCAGACAGTGGGTTTTTCTGCGAGGGATATTCTAGTGATGATGATGTGGTCCTGAAAGAAGAATTCAGAGGCATAATAGTCAAACAAGGCTGTTTGCTGAAACAGGTCAGTATGGCACGTGTTATGTCCTGTCACTGGGATGAAGTTGAATGCATACAAGATTACTTTTTTTACACCTAAAAGCTTTAAAGAAGAAACTAGCCTATGCCATCTCCACACTTGACACGTTTCATCTCTCTCCCTCTTGCCTTTGCACAAAGAATGCTTGCTGTAGTATGGCAACAAGGCTTTTGTCCAATGTTACAATGTTTATTGTTCTTACTATGAAATAAGACAGTTTATAGATTTAATTAGTAAAGAGTGCTAAAGCAGGAGATGTGACAAGACATTGGTACAATGCAGATCTGAACTTGGGTAAAAAGGCTGCCAATCCAGTGTCCCTCTGGACGCACAACTGGATCCAGTTGCCAGTTTTCACAGGCTTTTTCAGCATACTTGAGCAAAGGAGTCCTTTCAGTCACTGACGTTTGATCTTGTCCCTTCTGTAAGACGGAGGATAACTGTATACCTTCCTTTCCAGCAAAACTTTAAGCAATATGATGAATGTAATGGTAGGATCCTTACTTTCTGAGGCCATTGCAACCAGATGCTAGTGAACTGAAGGCATGACTGAGATTTTTCAATGAATAGAATAGTTCTCTTGGAAGGGACCTATAACAATTATCTAGTCCAACTGCCTGACCAGTTCAGGACTGACAAAAGGTTAAAGCATGTTATTAAGGGTGTTGTCCAGATGCCTCTTAAACACTGAGGGGCACTGACCACCTCTCTAGGAAGCCTGCTCCAGTGTTTGACCACCCTCTCGGTAAAGAAATGCTTCCTAATATCAAGTCTGAAGCTCCGCTGTGAAAATATTCTTTGGAAGCCTAAGAACTTTTTGGTGGTGCTCACTTGTTATTTCTCTTACTCAATCAGATTACTCAAAAGCAATGGAAGAAATTAGATACACGTCTTTCTGCTAACTGTCACATTCATGTCTGCCTAGTTAGTAAGAGCTTCCTGGCAAACAGTGTAGCTAATTGAGAAACTAATATTTTGAAATGCTGAGAGGAAGTGATTCATGACAGTCTTCCACCAGCATTAGTCTGGATTTGTTCACCCTCAGTGAGTTGTGGATCATTGCTTGGAAGTGTCACAGATTCTGCTGAGAACGCTTTCAGCACATCTAGATTTTTCCCCACCCAACATTTCAGTCTAGAGGCATCTATGTCCATATTGGAAGGTGGTGTTATTTCTGCCTGAGCTTCTCAGCCATGAATCTTCTCCAGGGTGCTTAAGCCAGATAAGCCTTTCTTTGTTGTTGGTTGCTGTTGTCTTTGCAAGGAGAGAAGGCCCTTCAGCTCATTCTTGCCAATAGTTCAAGGTGCCTTCCTGCAAGACATTTTGCAGCTGTGTTTTCTGTCAAAGCATTTAAATCCAGTTCTCACAGACCTCATGTGAATGTCGTAAGTACCAGACTATGAGACATGTTTAGGGGAATCCAGGGAGACCTTATAGCAGCCTTCCAGTACTTAAAGGGAGCCTACAGGAAAGATGGGGAGGGACTCTTTATCAGAGAGGGTAGTGATAGGACGAGGGGTAGTGGTTGCAAACTGAAAGAGGGGAGATTTAGATTAGATATTGAGAAGAAGTTCTACACTACAAGGGTGGTGAGACACTGGCACAGGTTGCCCAGAGAAGCTGTGGCTGCCCCCCTCCCTAGCAGTGTTCAAGGCCAGGCTGGATGGGGCTTTGAGCAACCTGCTCTAGTGGAAGGTGTCCCTGGCCATGCCAGGGGGTTGGAACTAGGTGATCTTCAAGGTCACTTCCAACCCAAACCATTCTGTGATTGGATGAATCTCCTATGTCGAAGCTCTTCTGCTTTGTACAAAAAATAAAAAGAGAAACAGGTGTGATAGCACAGTTGTTGTGCAAAACAATGGGATGCAGAAAGGCCAGGTACAAGTACTACTCCATCTTCTGTCAAAAATATTCACCTTCTCCCCTTTTGTATTTGCCTCTTCTTTCATGTGTGGGTAAGCTGACTGTAAGTGCTTGCAGGCAAAGCAGTTCATGATATTCTTCTTGAATTTTCCTAGGGACATCGGAGGAAGAACTGGAAAGTGAGAAAGTTTGTTTTAAGAGATGACCCTGCATATCTTCACTACTATGATCCTGCTGGAGTAAGAGACATTTGGTGTATTTCCCTGTTTGTTTTAAAGCTAATGCCTTGTAGAAATATCTGAATGAAGTATTTGCATGGGAATGTGTGATAGGGAAGACCAAGCAGGACAACAGGGCTGTTTGTGCTCACACAGCCTAGCCATCCTCTGGAAAAGCAGAGTGAAGGATGGTTTCTGGAGTTGCCAAGTCAGGGTGGCAAGTGCCACTCAGACCTGGGAAGGGGTAACACCGAACTGTGCTCTCACCTCTTATGTGTGATTAATTAGAATTAATGTGTGCTCTCACTTGATTAAAATGAACTAGGTATTAAGTGCAAATGAACGCAATACGGTAATTTTGCAGTTTAGAATTGAGGTATTTGCTGTGTAAGGGTGAGACGTGATGTTCCATTTCTTGTGTAATTCTTAGGGCCAAACCCTACCCTAAGAAAGGAAGGAGCATCGCAAGACTTGCTCCCCAAAAGCTACCATTCATTTAGATTCAGCCCACAGGTTTTATTTTGTCCTGCATTGCTGCAGGAGCAGTACTGTTGTGGGTTACAGGTGCTTTATGCTGTGACTGTCATCCTTGGCAGAGGCAGCCTAGACACACTGGAGAATCAACACTGAGGAGTTTCTGATCTCCCTGGTCCCAGCTTGCCTTTCCCCTCCATCCATCCCATATTGCCACATCCCCTTCCAAAGGGCTGAGGTGTGTTAGCTTACAGGGACTGCTTCTTTGAAACTTACGCCAACAAAAATGCATCTTCACCCCTTCTTTGACTGTCGCAGTCTTGAAGTGCACAACATGCCAAATTGTAAATAAGGGTATAGCTGCTATTGCTGCTTGGTAAGAATACTTCCAAGATCTACTCTTTTTCTAACTAACCTCTTTTTCTATTCACCATGACATCAAAAGAAAAGTTATAGTTGGCACAAGGCTTATATTCTTCTTGTACCTTAGTTCAGGACATGCTATACACTCTGTAGATCTGATTTCCAAATCCCAAAAGAGATTTCCTATTTCTTTACAGGTTTTCACCCTACCACACCCCCAACCCTCCCTGTCACACACAGACTGAGGATCCCCTGGTTTCCCGGGTGACATACTAAGTCAGCAAATGTTTTTGTTTCCATTCTGGAGTTGTAGCCAGTTATTAACATGTGAGCAGTTTCAGAAGTGTTGTGTTTCATTTTGATTTCATGTCCTCACCAGGGAGAAGAACCACTAGGAGCAATTAGCTTGAGAGGCTGCGTGGTGACAGCAGTGGAAGATATGCCAGACTGTAAGGAACCATGTTGAATGAGCTGTGTAATAAGTTTTTGGTACATTCCTTCAATCTGCCTGAAATCACAAGTGGTTTTTACTCAAAAGCAATCTATGTGCAATGGTTCAGTAATTCTTCTAGTAACTAGTCTCTACTTCTGTCTTAATTACCGGAGAAGGATACTGTGGTAAAGGTAGCAACAGGAAATCTTGTGTTTTGTCAGTTGTTTAGAAAAGACTTGTCAAAAGGGTGATGCCATCCCCATGTTAGGATAACTGGCCTTTAGACAAAGTAAGCTGAGTTTGTTCTTTTTAGTTGATGAATTTGGGATGGAAGCTTTACATTAGAAATGGTTCTGCCGACAAATCATTATTGTTCACATTCTGTTTCCTCCCAAAACTAGAAGTTGTGTGAACAGCAATGGTTAAGCGTTGCTGCAAGGAACAAGAAACACTCATTCTATGCATTCTCCTCTCCACAGGAGAGGCAGGCTATCATACCCAGCAAGAAAGTCTGTTGGCATCTCAGCACTTGTGTAGGCTGTGCTGGCAGATGTGAAAACAACCAGAGATTCTGGATGTGACATGAACTTAAACATCTTGGTTTTGTGGCTAGCAAGGCACGGGAGAGTTTGGGGAATATGACCTGTCTGCAAGATTGCAGATCCTTCCATGATTTGAGATCAAGTAACCAGAGACTCCTGAAGGTGAAATGTGCAGCATTCATGGGTTGTTTCTCCAAGACAGAGACCTGTCTCACAGACCAAATCTTGCAAGCAGGCACAGCTGTGGAAAGGAAGGAAATCCCCTTGCAGTGTGTAAAGAAAGAAACGTTGTAAATACAAGACTTTATTCTCTCATACCTGACTTTCTTATTTATTCCCTGTAGCCAAGAAGTATGATGTTGACAACATCCTCTTTGAAATCATCACAGCAAGTGAAATCCACTATTACTTGCAAGCAGCCTCATCTGCAGAGCGTACAGAGTGGATCAAAGCAATTCAGGCAGTTTCTAGGACTGGAAAATGAAGATGATCTGCCAGCGAGAAGACAGACAACTGAAAATTGTTACTCAAAATGAAACAGGAATTTTAGCATTTCACCGAGACAAAACAGTATCATCCAGAAAGGTGTCCTAAGGCTTCTGGGTAGGGGTCAGGGTGGGTACTAAGTTTCAATTCTGTAGTGGGCACTAACAAACTAACATGTTTTCTACTTGTGTTATGGTAATATTTTACTAAATATTTTACTAAATTATAGCATAGAACATGCCATAGTAGCGTGTGCTTCTAGGAGTAATCAGTCTACCTTGGGAAGGTCGCACCTTAAACCTTTCCCTGCTGCCACAGCTTATAATGAGAATTCACTATGAACAGAGGACAGTCATGTCACTGACTGTAAGTGAGGAACTCAACTAGTCACCTGCCATTCAGCCTGTGTTGTGGTTCAGTATCTTCAGATATTTCAGAGTCTTCCCAAGACAAACTTTACGCTTTCTTCTTCATCAGCCAGTGATCTTTCTACTGCCATGTTCACCTACACAAGCAATACCGTGGATTCAAGGAAAGAAATCAACTCACTTGGAAACCTAATCCACTCCCTTATAATCTTTCAGTGTTAAGGAAGGGAAGAATGCAGACCACTATGGAAACACTGTGTGGAAAGCAAGTACAACTCAATGACAGCGGTGTAAGATCACATGCACGAAACGTCTCTTCCCACAGTATTTCAAACATGAAGCAATCCCAGTTCAACTTCTTTATCACCTGGTTTTGACCTTTGCTAGATTTCTCCACAAGAATTTGCTGTAGGACCATTGTTTCCCTTCATTTAGGTCTCCAAAGCAGTTGCTAGAGTGTCATGGACTGCTGTATTTGACCTGTATTTGAATTAAGAATCTTGCAGAAGGGAAAGGATCTGTGGGTTGGTTACTTGAACTACTGGTTGAAATGATTTTGTTTAGGTGTTTCTTTTTTTTTTTTTTTTAACCTCCAGCAACACACTCAGTCCTTGGTTCCATGCCTTAGTAATAGAAGAGAAGCCTTATGCTTGCTGGAACTGAAATAAGCATTATTATTGTTTGACAGGGTCAGTTTACCTGATCAATCCTTATATTTTTGTCTGACTTATGTATCAAGCTTCTAAGTCTTAAACTTGAAGCAGGACTTGAAAGTCAATGTCAGATCTTCTTGTAGGCTGTTCCTGTTGCAGACTGATGTTTCTGAGTGCAAGTGCACTTAAAAACTTTTAAAATTCTGTTTGTAGATCTAATAAGGTGCCTTATCCTTAAGAATTCTTATTCAGATCTCTTCAGTCTAAAAACAGATCTGGAGTTAAAGCTTCTCTTTCATTCTGCTTAATTATACCTGTATCTGAGCTAATGAGCCTGAAGGCCCTGTGCCTTAGTATTGCTTATCACAAAGAAAACACAGCCCTGCAGGGGCAGCAGGCTGGCAGAGACTGCATCCTCACGGCCATTTAAGACATCCAAAGGAGATCAGCTTCTGGCAGGCATTTCCTGTATCTCATGCAAGCTAACAGGATCGCCAAAGCCTGGTATGTCATTCTGAGGAAGGAACACATGGCTGTTTGCTCAGCCTGCTCTCTTGATAATTGCTTTGTGGTTGCTGCTTGTTTTTGCTTTCAGAACTCACTAACCCAAATATACCCTATGGCACAGGAAAATAGAAAAAAAAACACCCACACGGCCAAACAAACGAAATTTGCCCAGCTTAGCAAGGGAGGGGTGCAACTGCCAATTTTTAATAAAACTAAGAAGTTTTACCAGTCTTTGACCTTGTCATTTTTCCCTGCGCCCACCTCTGAGCAGTATTTTCTCTGGCAGGTGATGCTAGTCAGTGTATTTGTGGAAGAGCTCTGGTGTTTCTACTGGACTATATCAACAGGGTCTCTAACCTCATAGATAGTTCTTTTGAGGATAGATCACAAAGGTTTGTAGGTCTCTGCTTCTTGGTGGAAAGGGGTGATTGGAAATGTATGTCTGATGCCACCCTACCTACATTTCCTGCTATAAATGCTTTAATTTGCCTGAGACTGGTACTGGGAGTGACACTGGTTTTTCTTTTAGTCAGGTTCTCATTTCTTGACCTCAATAATTAGCTCTACATTCCAAGGTCAATGTGCTCTAGCCCATTTTCAGTCAAGGCCTGTCAAGAGAAACAATACATTTCACAGACCTTTCTCTCTGATAAGCTCTTCACAAGGGGCAAACTGGGGACCAGGGTTATTATGGGGCTACATTTCAAAGACATTTGGTTTCCTAACTCATGGCAGTGCTTTTGAAAATCAAAGTTGGTACCTGAATGCCACCAGTGGTCTGACCTTGGGAATTGTGCATGAGATGATGACAACTGTCACAACCCTTCAACTGAGTCAGGAAATTCACTAAGGAGAGAGCTACTGGAGCTGAGACAAGGTGGCAAGGACTACTCTAACAGATGTCTGTATATGAGGAAAAAAAAGAAGGTTAGTTTTACAGTTTCTAGAGATGCTAACTAGATCTTGTTCAAGAGATTTCAGTATTAAAAAGCAACTGCAAGTCTATCTTGGATTATGTTACTCAGCCTTGTTACTCAGAAGGTGTGGAAGGTGCATGTATCCTAAATACTATCACAAGAGAGAGCAGGCCTAGTACAAGGAACTGCCATGCTTCCTCCACGTGTTTTCACCCTGTAACTATTTAAATCACACTTCTTCTACACACTCAGCAATTACTACCTCAACATCAGTTCCTCTTTTACTTATAACATGAATTACTCTTTTTTTTTTCATAGACTAAAGACAAGAAAATAAACCATTGTGGATAAGGACTATATTTATAAACTTCAATTAAAGTAAGAGTTGTATGATGTAGTCTACTATAAAGATCCTCTTAGGTTTGTGTTTAACTTGCCACATCTTACACTGAGCAGTTTTCCCTCCCCTGGAACGCTGACTGCATGCTTACTGCAGTCAGGTTTTCAGGAACCTTTATTAACCAGGCACCCATAAAAACACCCATGCAGACACGGAGCTCCATGGTTTAAAACAAAACAGAACAAAGCAACCACATACGTACGCTGAAAAAATAACATCCATGAGGACGGCAACTGCCTAGCAAGCTTTCAGCTGCAGGTGTTACTTCTTATAATCCAGTAAACACCACATATGGAGGTAGTTCTGTCTTAACGTGTCTCTAGCAGTGTTTTCCGAGAGCTGTTTATTTTCCCTGCCCTGCAACTTTCTTTTGAAGGGTAATGTTAATATTCCTTTATTCCTAAGTGTAGTTATTTTGGTGCTGTTCTTTGCAGTGTGCTGTCTTTGCATTTTAATTGAAAGAATAGTTAACAGAAAGTGTTAAAGGTCTACTGAAAATGTGGGTTTACTAATGGAACAGTTTATTGAGGAATCTTTAGTCAAAGTTCATTCATAAAGAGGAAAAAACTAGTTAAGGTAGTTCGAGGTATGGTCTAGTATGTACTGTCAAATCTCTCTGTTAGATAAGACAGAGGTTTTTATTTGTATTTGTTTTTACAGTATTGCAGATAATTCTTCAGTGCAGTAATGCTGCTTCTGTCTTTGTCTTGGCGTTCACTTTATTACCAATGTTAAACACCAATTATTTCCTCTCCCCACCCCCCAATTTGTTCTCAAATACTTCAGAAGTTATTTCAAGTTTAAACAACTTACTTCGCAGGGCTCTGGATAAGCGCTTTTTATTGTTTGTAATGTACCTCCATTTGTTCTGAGTTCAGGCTTGGACAGCATCAAAACTAATAATCCTGAAAACTTCACTTAAATAACCTTTTTGGTGAGGGCCAGAAACATTTTAGTAGGGTGGATTGTTTGTTTGGGTGGTTTTTTTTGGGGGGTGGGGTGGATGGGTTGGGGGTTTGTTTGTTTGTTTTCAGTTTGTACCTTTTAAAACCATAGGAAGCTGTAGGAGGAACTTTAAAAAGCAAAATGAGTAGGTAACGGTCCTCTGCTGGCTGTTGGTATTTCTGAGGCTGCCTTTAGTTTGGGTATTGAAAAGTGCACGTGTTTTTTGTTGTGAACTGTGGTCTTCTCGTTGATGTATAGAGATTTTACCATGCTCAGTGTGAACCTCTGTGTGCAGTAGTAAACTCGAAGATGGGATCCAAATTTCTGTCTCCCATTTGGGTTTCCTGATGGCTGACAGGGGGATGTGCGTTCTAGTCCTTTCTCCTTACCAGCCACCTCTTTTGGAGGAGTTTTTGGGTTTGATAGCTTTGGCAGCCTAAGAAGACTGTGTGCAATAAACAATCCTACCTATTTGAATAATTTTTAAGTAAATGTATTACATTGAGTTTGTCCTAAAGTAAGTAAAAGTGGAATATATGTGCTTTTAACATGTTAATATGCCATAACATGCAAGAGGTTCTTTTCAAAGGCTAGGGCAAAATAAAATGCAAGGCTGTTCACACAGCCTCTGGTTTGAAGGATTGCTTGTAGACTATACACTTAAATAATTGCATAGTTATATTATTTAGCCTGTAAGCTGAGCAGTTCTTGATGTATAAAGTGTCAGATGTTTGCCCTTTAACATCTGGACAGAGGATGGAAATCTTAATCCTGCTTCTTGTTGACAGTGAGGGTCCTTTTCTCACTTTCTAACCCTTTCTCTGCTACTGAGGAGCCAGGATTCCTGAGTATCTATCTCCCATCTTTCTGTGTTACTTGTGTGACACTAAGAAAGACAAAGACGACTTAAAAAGCAAATCGTTGAGGCAGGATCAGTGTTCTGACCGGTGAGGTGCTGGTGCCTTTTCAGATGGCTTTGCCGGCCCACCACACGTGGCTCAGCGGTTCAAAGGAGCTTGCACTATGGAGCCTTGTTGCACTATGGAGTCTTTCCAGTGCTCCCACCTGGCTTCAGCGGTTGCTGGATTGGAGCCTGGAAGAGAAGAGTGTCTTTTGCCAGCTCTGTGGAAGTAGCTTCAGCATGAGAATGAGGCTTAGTCCTGGCTGATCTGAAAAATGAACATGGCAGGGAGCTGCCATCTGTGTCTGTGAGTTGTTTTTGTTGTGTGGGATGATAATATGACTGAAATCTGAATCTGCTGCATGAAGAATAATTTCAATGTGGTTACTTCATCACCTTTTGAGCATAGTTTAGGTACTGC